GTTTTTATATTATTATTATATACCTGCATAAAGAGAATGTGGTAAAATTGAAGAAAGTAATTCTATTGACAATAGTCACTGAAGAAATAAATTATCTAGAAATAAACCTGACTAAAGAAGTCAAAGCCAGGTACAAGGAAAATTATGAAAAAAATTTTTAAAAGAAATTGAAAATGACAAAAAGAAAAGTGGAAAGGATCCTATGTCCCTGGATTGGAAGAATTAATATAATCAAAATTTGAATCCTACCCAAACTAGTCAACAAATTTAAGGAAATTCCAATTAAATTACCAGACATATTCTTCACAGATTTAGAAAAAACAATCACAGAAATCATCAAGATTCATAAGATCCCATATTGCCAAAGCAACACTGTGCAAAAAGAGAGAAGCAGGCAACATCTCCCTCCTTTACCCCAAAATATAATACAAAACTATTATAATCAAAACAGCATGGTATTCAAACAAAATAAGCATGTGAACCAATGAAACAGAATAGAGATTCTAGAAGTAAGCCACAAAATAGAGCCAATTGATTACTCACAAAGTCAATCAAGTGAAGAAACAAAAATCTATTAGTAAATGGTGCTGGGAAAACTGGATATCTACCTGCAGAAAAATGGAACTGGTCCACTATTTTGCACCACTAACATAAATGAACTTAAAATTGATCGAAGATCTAAACCTAAGACCTCAAACTATAAAAGTACTGGTGGTGAACCAGAGAAAACTCTTAGGAACAATGAAATAGGCCAAGACTTCTTAAATAATTCCCTAAAGCACAAGCAATAATATCAAAATAGACTACAAGAAGGACTACATCAGGTTAAAAACTGCTGCATAGCAAAAGAAAAAATATTTAGAGTGATTCCACAACCCACAGAATAGGAGAATATGTTTGCAGCTATGCCTCAGAGAAGGGGCTGATGATTACAATATACAGGAAATGCAAGCAGAATACCTGAGGGGGGGGAAAAAAAAAAAAAGACCAACCCAATTAAAAGATGGGCAAATGAGCTGAACAGGTAACTTTCTAAGGAAGACATACAAACAGCCAAAAAGCCTGTGAAAAATACAATATACAACATCCCTTATCATAAGGGAGATACAAATCAAAACCACAATGAGATATCACCTAACCACTGTCAAACTGGATAAGATTTTAAAAATTAAAAGTGAGGGACCAGCAGTTAACCTAATGGCTATGTCACTGGACTCCCATGTGGTCGACCACGATTCGCGTCCTGGACCCGGTGGCTTAAAACTCACGCCGGGCGTGTGCATGCGTGCCCAAGATCCCGAGAGAAGAATAGAGGAGAAGAGATTATGGCGTGGCCATCCTCCCTGAGGGGTGATTTCTTGCTTTCTATCTCTCTGTCTTTCTGGCGAGCACACGTGCCCTATAGCAAAAAAAAAAAAATCCTCTCCAAAAAAAAAATTAAAAATGATAAGTTCTGGTGAGGCTGTGGTAAAATGAGAACTCTTCTACGCAGTTAGTGGGAATGTAAATTTGTATAGACACTGTGTAGACCAATATGGAGATTCCTCAAAAACCTACAAATAAATTGACATATGATCCAGCAAGTCCACTGCTGGGTATCTACATAAAACATAGGAATACACTCAATCAGAAAAGGATTTGCATGTCTGTGTTTATTGTGACATTATTCACAATTGCTAAGACATGAAATCAAACCAAATGTTCATGAACTGATGAATGTATTGAAAAAGTATGGCATGTATACACTACAGAATACTACTCAGCCATTAAAAATGAGATTCTGGCATTTGATGGAAAGTGGACAAATATGGAATATATACTGCTAAGCAAAGCAAATCAGACTATGAAAGAGAGGCACTGTAAGTCCCTACTTGATATATACCAAATGTATGCACTCTATGGCAGAAACTGAAAGACTAGAGGATATTGATAAAGGTATAGAGAACAACTGTGGATACTGGAGTCACTATAGGAGCAGTGTGGGAAATAGGAAAGGGTGAGAGGGAGAGATCCAAGAGGAAAAAGAAAGAAAAAAGCATTTAAGTGACACAAAAAGAAAATTACCTGTTGATGATAACGTGTATGTTAGTATCTTTAACTGGACTAATATGCAGTGTATTCACACTGGGAAAATTCATTTTGCATACTACAATCATATATAGAGATTGAAGGAATAAAAATAAATAAATTACTTAGTGTTAAAAAGGGATGGCAGCATAATATGTATATAAGATAATTAGATATCTGTAACTACATTTAAATAAATTAAGCCTAATGAAAAAGAAAAAAATGGATAAAATTATATATAAGTGTTAGATATTGTCTTCCAGGTTTTAAGAAGTATTGGTCCTGCCTTGTGGCCAGAACCACCATCTTCCAGTAATTAACCAAAATGACGAACACAAAGGGAAAGAGGAGAGGCACTTGATCTATGTTCTCTAGGCCTTTTAGAAAACATGGAGTTGTTCCTTTGGCAACATATAAACGAATCTACAAGAAAGGTGATATTGTAGACATTAAGGTAATGGGTACTGTTCAAAAAGGAATGCCCCACAGATGTTACCATGGCAAAACTGGAAGAGTCTACAGTGTTAACCAGCATGCTGTTGGCATTGTTGTAAACAAACAAATTAAGGGCAAGATTCTTGCCAAGAGAATTAATGTGCGTATTGAGGATATGAAGCATTCTAAGAGCAGAGATAGCTTCCTAAAACATGTGAAGGAAAATGATCAGAAAAAGAAGGAAGCCAAAGAAAAAAGTACCTGGGTTCAACTAAAGCACCAGCTCCACCCAGAGAAGCACACTTTGTGAGAACCAATGGAAAGGAGCCTGAGCTACGGGAACCTATTCCCTATGAATTCATGACATGATAGGCATTAACAATAAACTAATCTGTGATCTATTAAAAAAATAAGTAAAAATAAATAAATAAATAACTAAATAATATTGTTCTTTCAGAGCCAGCAGGTGGCATTGTAGTTAGGTGCTAGACCTTACTCATGGGTGATTGTGATGGAGCACTGGATCCAGTGGCTTAAAACTCATTTCAGGCATACATGCATGCTTATCCTAAATCCCTAGAACAGAATGGAAGAGAAAGGATTACAGTGTATCTGGCCACCCCCCTCAAAGAGGTGATTTCCTGCTTTCTGTCTCTGTCTCTCTTTCTGTCTCTTTGGCAAGCACACGTGCCCTATAGCAAAAAATTCTCAAAAAAAAAAAAAAAGTATTGGCCTTTCTGCGTTCCCAAGAAACCTGTGGATACCATTTTTTTTCATATTTTAATTGCTATTTTACTTAATATATGCATAATAATTCTGCATATTCATGGAATAGAATGTGACTTTCCATTTATGCATGTGATGTATGATGATGAAGTCAGGATGATTAGTATGTCCATTATCTTAATCATTTATCTTCTGTTTGCAGAGCATTCCAATTCCTGACTTCTGACTGTATTAAAATATGTGATAAATTGTTGCTGCATATAGCATTATTGAATTCTGTAGTATTATTGAATACTAGAATGTACTTTTCTTTTTTAAGGTTTTTGCCACATGGCACAAATACTCACCATAGAGATAAAAAGAGAGAGAGAGAGACAGTGAGAGGTAAAGTGTGAAATTAACCCCCAGGGCAGGTGGCCATACCACAATTCCTTCTCCTCCATACACCTCTTGGGATTTAGGGCAAGCACACACATGCACACAGTGTGAGTTTTAAGAAGTCAGGACTGGGACTCAACATTGGTTGGCCATGAGGGAGTCCAATCTCTTAACCACATGCTACCAACTGGCCCTGTAAAATATACTCCTCTTATTTCACTGTAAATTTGGATTCATGAACCAACCTCTTTGATCCTCCACTCCACTGTATACTTCCCAGTTTCTAGAAATCACTACCCTACTCTTGTCTATAAGATAAATTTATTAGCTCACTTACATGAGAGAGAACATGCACAATTTATCTTTGTGTGTCTCGCTTATTTCACTTGACATTATGTTTTCCAGGTACATTCACATTGCTAAAACAGAAGGATTTTATTCTTTTTTAAAAAAGACGGGATAGTATTTCATCATGTATACACACTGTCCGCTCTCTAGTGCATATACACCATCCATTTTTAAAACTAGTTATCTGATAATGTCTGATAATGTACATTTACTTTGACTTCTCTTTAAATAACTATTTTATTTAACTTTACATATTTATCTTAATATGACTATGGGGGGACAGAGAGAGAGGAAAGAGAGAAAGTGAGAAAGAAAGCTGCCAGGTCTGAGACTTGAACCATGGTTGGCCTTGTGGGAGTCCAGTGCCCTTAACCACTGTGCAGGTGGCTGGCCCCTACATTGACTTTTAGTTATTGACTTCTGTGAATAGTGCTGCAATAAAAACGGGAATGCAGATATATGTTCCACATGGTGATTCTGAATGATTATGATAGGAACAGTTTGGATCATTTACATGTAAATCTGGCTTAAGAAAAAAAATCCAGTGTAGAGACAGTGATGATAACAATTATGACTAATATCCATCTAACAATCTAGACATTCACTGCATGTTTTACATATTGGCTTTAAATTTTCCTAACACTATGGTTACAGAACACAAATAATGGAAAGGTTAATCATGGAAATATTGCAAAAGAAGGAAAGAAAATATGTCATTATTTGCATGCTTGCAAATGAAAATTCAGCTCTTATTTTGACATCAGGTAAGAAATATTCCCCCTATAAGCAGGGTGTGTGGTGTTTGCATAGGAGTTAATTTGAGCTAATTGAGAAAAACAATGTTTTCCATAAAGATGGCAATACCTCTTTCCTTGGCATGCCATGATGCTTTCCTGCTTGAGATTGGCCAGATAATTAAAGGAAACAAGGACATTATTAGACATCAAGAAATTTGGAAAATACTTAACTAAAGGTCAGGATATTAAAGAAATATAGCCAGTAATATTAATATTTTTCCCTTGATTGCATATAATTTTTGTTCAGATATGACGAGTTTACTACCTATCTTTTTATGCACTCTACTAATCATAGAATTTGTTCTTGGAAATTTTGCCAATGGCTTCATAGCGCTTGTGAACTTCATTGACTGGATCAAAAGACAAAAGATGACCTCTGCTGATCGAATTCTCACTGCTCTGGCCGTCTCCAGAATTGGTTTGCTCTGGGTAATGGTAATCCACTGGTATATAAGTGTTTTTCCTCTGGGTTTCTATAATATAGCAGTAACTATTATTGTTCATAGTGCCTGGACAGTGGCCCACCATTTTAGCATCTGGCTTGCCACTAGTCTCAGCATATTTTATTTATTCAAGATTGCCAATTTCTCTAACCTTATTTTTATTCACTTGAAAAAGAGAGCTCAGAAAGTAGTTACAGTGATATTGTTGGGGTCGTTGGCCATTTTAGCTTTTCATCTTGTATTGGTAAACATACATGACAGTGTGAGCATAAAAGAATGTGAAGGAAACATGACGTGGAAGATGACATTGAGAAAATTTTCAGAGCTGTCATATGTGACCCTTTTCACAGCAGGAAACTTCTTACCCTTTACTGCATCTTTGATATGTTTTCTGCTCTTAATCTGTTCTCTGTGTAAACATCTTAAGAAGATGCAGCGCTATGGAAAGAAATCTCAGGATACCAGCACCAAGATCCACATAAAGTCTTTGCTCATTGTGATCTCCTTCCTCTTGCTTCTTGCAGTCCATTTTCTGTCTATAATCATTCCAGTTTGGTATTATGATGGGCAACTGGCAAAGTTGGACCTCATGCTGTGCCAAGTTATTGGATTGACCTATCCTGCATGCCACCCATTTATCCTGATTCTGGGAAGCACAAAGCTAAAACAAACCTTTCTCTCATTATTTTGGTGGATGAGGGACTGGCTGAAAGACCGGAAACCCTCAATTCTTTAAATTATTAAGGCGAATTCATATGTCTTCTTACAGAAAAGAAACACATAAACTTTAACATTTTCTACTTCTTTCTGGCTTTCCATTTCATATGTATGTGATTAATATCCAGAGAGATACCTAATAATGCATTTTATCTATACTTATTTAGAACTATATATATATATATATATGTGTGTGTTTCTGTGTATATGAAAAATATATACAATTTTGACAATAACATAGCCTTGATTATGTTTTTAGCAAAAAACAATTATTCAAAATGTGGTAAAAAAATACCTTAGAATTATAAAGTCATTTGTATTTCACGTACATATTCTATAATATTCTTTTTTTTTTTTGAGAAGTTTTTGCTATAGGGCACATGCGCTCACCAGAAAGATTTCCCAGGGAAAATGACCACACCACAATCCCTTCTCTTCTGTTCTGCTCTTGGGATCTTGGGCACGCACATGCACCCAGCATGAGTATAAGCCACCGGGTTCAGGACTCAAACCGGGGCCGAATACATGGGAGTCCAGCGACATAGCCATTACGGCAACTGCTGGTCTCTATATTCTATAATATTCTAATGGAGGATTTTATTGTACATAATTACACATCAGAATTGACAACTTACCTTAGGAAATTATTGCTGTTTTCCATTATGATTTAACTTACATGAATGTACCAAAGTATGTTTAGATTTCATTGTTTGAACTTCCAAAACATAGGTGGAAAGGACATTCAATTTCACATCAAGTAAGGCTGTACTTTCAGGATAGGTTTCATTCCATTATGAATCATTATTTCATGTTTAGCAGTAAGCTAACAGAATTGCTGAGAAAAATGCATGCTCACAATGAAATTTAAGAGTGACCAAAAAATTCAAGATACTTTTATATATTTAAATTAAACTGCATTTGGGAATACTAGGTTTAATACAAATATGTGAATAGCTTAGAAAGATTATTTGAATAAGAATGCAGGATTTAGAAACAAATGCCCTTATCCCAAATGCTGCTATAGTTTTTCACATAGAACTAGGAAACTCATTTCCTTCAGTTTTTTTTTTTCTTTCTTTCTTTTTTAAGAGATTTTTGCTATAGGGCGCGTGTGCTCACCAGAAAGACAGAGAGAAACAGACAGACAGAAAGCAAGAAATCTCCCCGCAGGGGGATTGGCCATGCTGCAATCCCTTCTCCTTCATTCTCCTCTCAGGATCTTGAGCATGCACGCACACACGCACATGCTCCCGGCCTGAGTTTAAGCCACTGAGTCCAGGACTCGGACCACAGTCAACTACATGGAAGTCCAGCGACATAGTCATTACGCTAACTGCTGGTCCCTCCTTCAGTTTTTGTTTGTTTGTTTGTTTTTGTTTTGTTTTGTTTTGTTTGTTTGTTTTTGAGAGGCTTTTGCTATAGGGCATGTGCACTTGCCAGAAAGACATAGAGAGACAGAGAGATAGAAAGCGAGAAATCACCCCCCAGGGTGGATGGCCACGCTGCAATCCTTCTCCTCCATTCTCCTCTAGGGATCTTGGGCATGCACGCACACGCGTCCGCCATGAGTTTAAGCCACCAGGTTTGGGACTCGGACTCGGACTCCCATGTTGCTACATGGGAGTTCAGCAACATAGCCATTACGCTAACTGCTAGTCCCATCCTCCTTCAGTTTTTTAATGAAAGGAAACCCTCCTTGAAATTGAAAACTGAGTCAATATTTTAGTTTCTTCTAAAACACTTTCAAGCCCCTGGATATTGTTATCTGTTTTATCTTCCATTAAAAATAAATCCTTCAAAATTTGAATAACTCAAATCTTCCCAATATTGGAAAAATGCTCAATATAAAAATAGTGAAATTATAAAACATAATTCAATGGCCCTTTCTGTAAACAATAAAATGGCATATGAATTCTATGTATTTGTTATTGGGAATGTGTCAAAGATTTGTTTTATTATAATTATGCTGTAAATGATAAAATGAGAGGAAATATGTTGACTTTTTGAATTGCAAGATCTAGACATAAAGAAAATATATAAACTTGTTAAAGAGATAAATTCTCCCTGACAGTATTCATTCTTGGTTATTAAAAAATTTTGGCAATGTTATCTAATCCTTAATATAAACTGTCTCCATATTTGACTAAGTTATTCATTTTTTTAACATATTTTTGTTAAAAGATGAGTGTGTTCACAGAGAAACAGAGACAGAGAAATAGAAAACAAGAAATCACTCCTGGCGAGATGGGCACACGGCTGCCTCGTCCCCTCCATTCTTCTCTCAGGATTTTAGGCACAACACATATGGGGCCAGTGCATTTCAAGTTGCCAAGTCTGGAATTCAAACCATAGTCAGCCATGTGGGGATCCAATCCCTTAACCACTTTGCCACAGCTGGCCCCAGTTATTCATTTTTTAATCATCTGTTTCCACAGCACAATGTATGCACCACAAGAGCAGAGATCATGTCTAAGCTGTTCACTAATGAATATTAAGCTAACTAATGAAGACCAGACTAAATAACTAAAATAATTGAAACCAGACAACAAATTACTTTGCCTAAAATGATAACTTAATGAACAAATAACGTATAATGGATTAATGAATATAATAGGGCTGACAAAACAATGTAAATGAAACCCATCACAAAGGTTTCACCTTCCATAAAGTTTCCATATCTGGTTTCATTTTGAGGTTCCATGCTTATTCAAGTGGAAGCATTTCCCAGACCAAATGTTTGGTCACTCTACAACTCTAAAGGAAATGTGATTTGAATATACCTTTCATGCAGCTATGCAAGGTTTGCAAAATGGACACAAAATGGAACATTAAAATTAGGTGGCACCTATTATGAGAGTTTTATTATTTATTTATTTATTGTATTCACTATAGGGCATGTGTACTCATCAGAGACAGAGAGCCACAGAGAGGGAAAGTGAGAAATCACTCCCTGAGGTAGATGGTCATACCACAGGTTTTTTTTCCTCCATTCATCTCTTGCGATTTTGGGCAAGTACTCACATGCACCCAGTATGATTTTCAAGCAGCTATGTCTGGGACTCAAACCCTGGTCAATTCAGGGAGTCCAGTCCTTTAACCACCACACCACCTACTTGTTTTCTGTAATTTCCTCTTGTTTTACTGTAATTTTGGATTTGTGAACCAACCTCTTTAATACTCCACTCCACGGTATCTTTCCCAGCTTCTAGATATCACTACCCTATCACTGCTTTCTATAAGAGCAACTTGCTAGCTCACACTTATGAGACAGAACATGCACTATTTATCTTTGTGTGTCTTGCTTGCTACACTTGGCCTTATGTCCTCCAGGCACATCCACATTGCTAAAACAGGATTTTATTCTTTTTAAAAAAGGACTGGATAGTTTTTCATTATGTATACATACCACCCACTGTCTAGTGTACATACACCATCCATTTATAAACCTTTTTATCTGGCAAGGTCTGATAATGTATCTTTACATTGACTTTTATATATTGACTTCTGTGAATAGTGCTGCAGTAAAAATGGGAATGCACATAGTGATTTCGAATGCTTATGGTAGGAACCATTTGGATCATGCACATGTAAATTTGGCTTAAGAAAAAATATCCAATGTAGTGATAGTGATGATCACAGTTATGACCAAGATCCATCTAACAATCTAGACATTCACTGCATGTTCTACACACTGGCTTTAAATTTTCTAACACTATAGTTACAGAATGCAGATAATGGAAAGGTTAATCATGGAAATATTGCAAAAGAAGGAAAGAAAATATGTCATTATTTGCATGCTTGCAAATGAAAATTCAGGTCTTATTTTGACATCAGGTAAGAAAGATTTCACTTACAGACAGAGCCTGTAGTGTTTGCATAGGAGTTAATTTGAGCTAATTGAGAAAAACAATGTTTTCCATAAAGATGGCAATACCTCTTTCCTTGGCATGCCATGGTGCTTTCCGGCTTGACATTGGCCAGATAATTAAAAGAAACAAGAACATTATTGGACACTCAGATATTTGGAAGATACTTTACTAAAGGTCAGGATATTAAATAATATAACTAGTGATATTAATAATCTTCTTGATTTCATAATTTTTTTTTAGTTCAGTCATGACCAGTTTTCTACCTATCTTTTTTTGCACCCTACTAATGACAGAATTTGTTCTTGGAAATTTTGCCAATGGCTTTATAGCACTGGTGAATTTCATTGACTGGGTCAAGAGACAAAGAATCTCCTCTGCTGATCAAATTCTCACTGCTCTGGCCATCTCCAGAATTGGTTTGCTCTGGGCAATATTAATATATTGGTATACAAGTGTGTTTTTTCCGGGTCTCTATACCATAGAAGTAAGTATGATTATTCATAGTACCTGGACAGTGGCCAACCATTTTAGCATCTGGTTTGCTACTAGCCTCAGCATATTTTATTTGTTCAAGATTGCCAATTTCTCTAACCTTATATTTATTCATTTGAAAAAGACAGTTAAGAATGTAATTGTAGTAATATTGTTGGGAACTTTGGTTATTTTGTTTTTTAACCTTGTAGTGATAAACATCTATGAGAGTGTGAACATAAAAGAGTGCAAAGGGAACATGACTTGTAAGATTAAACTGAGGAATTTTGCAAAGCTGTCATATGTGACTGTTTTCACAGTAGCAAACTTCTTACCCTTTACTGCATCCCTGATATGCTTTCTGCTTTTAATCTGTTCCTTGTGTAAACATCTTAAGAAGATGCAGCTCTATGGAAAAGAATCTCAAGATACCAGGACCAAGATCCACATAAAGTCTTTGCAAACTGTGATTTCTTTCCTTTTGCTCCTTGCTGTTCACTTTATATATCTATTTATAACAGTTTGGAATTCTGATAGGCCACCTACGGAGCTGGATATTATGCTTCGTCAAGCTATTGGAATGATCTATCCTGCATGCCACCCATTAATCCTAATTTGGGGAAGCTCAAAGCTAAAACAGACCTTTCTTTCATTATTTTGGCAGATGAAATTTCTTCTGAAAAGCCAGAAACCTTCAACTCTTTAAATTAATGAAGGACATCATGTATCTTTTTACAGAACACAAACACATGGACTTTAATATTTTCTACTTTCTGGTTTTCTATAGCATATGTATGTGATTAATATCCAGAGACATACCTAATAATGAGTTTTACCTAAACTTATTTAAAAATGTATATATGTGTGCATGTATGTCTATTTCTGTGTATATAAAAAACATATAAATTTTAACAATAACATATCCATATCATTTTTTAGCACAAACCACTTAATTGTACAAAATATGGTAAGAACTATCTTAGAATTATTCATTCTTTGTATTTCGCATTCACATTCTATAACCTTCTAATGGAAGATTTTATGTTTATATTCACACATTCGTGAGAACTGACAACTTACCTTCAGAAGTCACTGCTATTTTCCATTATAATTTAGAATACATGAATGTACCAGAGTGTGTTTATAATCCAATTCTGAATTTCCAATTACATGGATGATAAGGACATTTAATTCCAACTAAACAATATGGATGTGTCTTTGGGATTGGTTTCATTCCATCATGAATCCTTATTTCATGTTTAGCAGAAAGCTAACAGAACTGATGAGAAAAAAAATGATGGACACAATAAAATTTAAGAGTGACTAATATATTCAGAGTAATTTTGTATAATGTAAATTAAGCACTTAGGAATATTAGGTTTTATACAAATATTTGACTAGCTTAGAAAAAGATTACTTGAATAAGAGTGCTGAATTAAGAAACATGATGTCCTATTCCAAATGCTGTTATAAATGTCCACATAGAACTAGGAAACTCATTTATTTCAATTTGTATAAAAAAATACTGAAATTGAGATCTGATTTCAATATTTCCATTTCTCCTAAATCAATTCTGAGCCCTTGAATATCCACTTATCTCTTTTATCATCCATCCTTAAAATTCCTTCAGAATTCAAATACCTCAAATATTCCCATATTAGAAAAAAATCCTCGGTATAAAAATAGTAGTAAAATTATAAACCATAATTAAATGAAACTTTCTAGAAATAAAAATATCACATATCAAATCTATGTATTCATTATACAGAATACATCTAAGATCTATTTTACTATAATCTTGTTGTAAGTGATATGATGTTGCATGTTCCAGACAAAAAGAAAATATATAAACTTTTAAAGAGATCAATTCTCCATGATGATATTCATTCCTAGTTATAGAATATTTTAACAATGTTATCTGTTCCTTAGCATACACTGTCTGCATATCCAACCATTATTCATTTTTTAACCATCTGTTTTCTCAGCACAATGTAACTACCATAAAGCAGAAACCATGTCTATGGTGTTTATCGATGAATACCAGGAAATAAAGACCGACTACAGATTACTTGGCCTAAAATGATACCTTAATGGACAAATAATATATAATGAATTAATGAATATATTAGGGCTGATAAAGCAATGAAAATGAAATCCATCACAAAGATTGTACATTGCATGAAATTTTCACTTCTGGTTTCATATTCTGGTTATGGGCTTATTCAAGTGGAAGCACTTTCCAGAGCAAACATTTGCTCACTCCATAACTCTAGAGAAAATATGACTAGAAAATAGCCTTCATGCAGCTAAACAACTTCTGTGAAACAGAGACTTGATGAAATATGAAAATTAGTGCCTATTACAACAGTTTATTAATTAATTTTTAGTTTTCACTATAGGATGTATGCACTCACCATAGACAGAGACAGCCACACAAAAGGAACTGAGAAATCATTCCCCAGGGTGTATGGTAACCCCACAACCCCTTCTCCTCCATTCTCCTCTTGGGATTTTGGGCACGCACACATACAAGCTTGGCATGATTTTCAAACTGCCAAGGATGGGATTCAAACTATGTGGAATCCAGTGCCTTTACCTCCATGCTATCTCCTGGCCCTACAGCAGCTTTTTAGGTAGTTTGTTTGTTTATATTTTAGAGAGATTTTTGCTATCTGGAATGTTCTACAGAGATACAGACAGAGACAGAGAGACAGAAAAAAAGTGAGAATTATCCCCCTAGGGAGGATGGCCATGCCACAATACCTTTCTCCTTCATTTTCCTCTCAGGGTCTTGGGCACAGACACACATGTGCCCAGTGTGAGTTTTAAGTAACTGGGTCTGGGACTCAAACCATGGTCAACTACATGGGAGTCCAGTAATGTAACCATTATGCCACCTGCTGGTCCCCCTACAACAGTTTTTAAAAAGCATATAATTTTCCATTTTTGTGTCCCTTAAGTGTTTTGTTTCTTTTTTTCTTCTCTTGATTCCTTCTCTCTCACCCTCCCCCATTACCCACACTCCTTCCAAACTGTCTCTAGTGCCCACAGGTGCTTCTGCATGCCTTTATACCTTCTAGTCTTTCACTTTCTGCCATAGAGTACAGATATTCAACATATCGTGAGTGGGGACATTTAATGTATTATCTTTGACTTAACCGATATGCAGTGTATTCATAGAAAAAGTTATTTGGTATATTGTAATGATACAGAGTGATTGAATGTCAAAATAAATAAATAAATAAATAATAAATAATTTTTTTAGAAAACATATAAAAGATTTTATAATAGAGTCAGCCAAAAGCCTGCTGGTTGAAAGAGTCAGATCCCACATGATCAACTGTTATTAAATCCTGACCCCACACTCACTGTGAATGTGTGTGCACACACCCAGGATTCTTACAGGATAGAGAAAAGGAGAAGAGTTTGCAGTATGACCATACTCCATAGCGCGGTGCTTTTTCCATTTCTCTCTTTGAGCACATGTGCCATCTGGCAATAGAAAAAAAATTATTTGTTAAATTTTAGTGTATTTTCCCTGTATTTCTTCTGCTGCAAGTGACATGTTTTTAATTAAGATTTTTCCAGCTAGCTAGCATATACACAAAGACTACATTTCACTTTTGAAAATTAAGTTTATAATTATCTGACTTACTAAAATGTTATTTTTATGTAATATTTTTTCAATTATCCTTTCTAAAGAAATTTTTATTATCATTTTATAAATTCAGAGATGAAGGAATGAATAATACATGCATAAACCAATAAAATTCTAGACTGGGGCTTCTAAAACCAGAACCAATGTCAGGAATTGAAGTCCTGATAGCTATTTAGGAAGGCAAGTCCAGAGTGGGAATGAGGAAGACACAAGGAAACATAGGTAAGAGAACATGTGAAGCCCCATCCTATGATGCATGACCTGCTGGGGGCCACTCCACAGTGTGGTGAGGGACAGCACGGCGTTCAGCATGAGTGTGTCTTGGCACCCTGAAATTGCCAAGGGAAAAATAAATAAAGTTTATGTATGAGAGAGAGGAAGGAGAATTTCACTACTCAAGTCTCTTCAAGAGTCCCACTGGCCAGAATTTACTTGAAGCAGAACTAGCATCTCTTTCTCTGCTGAAGCTTGCTTAACCCCACAGGGCCATTTAGAAGGTCAGACAACATGCCCAAGTGTGCTGTTCCAACAAGCCCAGCATGGAAGGATGGTCTGGATCAGGCAAGAGGCTGACAGAGAGAAGAGACAGTCAAGGAAATCTGAGGAAGCACACATGTCTATGTCCATACAGTCCACCCCTTGAGCCTGTCAGATACACTTAGGTTCTCCAGGAGTGGTTGGTTTATGAGTGGTTGACTCTACAGTTGCTTAGAGGGGGACCTATGCTAATTTTAATGCTCTGATCTTGCTCTTTTTCCAAGTAGAGGTTATGTTGCAGCTGAAAGGAGGTAGACTTGCAATAATTCCATGGGGGATTGCTCTCCCACTTTCCTGTGGGACTTTTCAAACATATGCATAGCATCTTTAACTTCAGTATATGCCTCTAAGAGCTTTGAGTTTGTCGTATCTTCTGGCCCCATGGAAAGAGCAGTGTGGACCACAGCGTACACCTTCTCCTGCTCTTGGTTCACTTGAATTTTGTTTCTTTTAGGGAAACACCATGAATGGGTCAGAGTGACATCCATCCTTAAATGTGGTATATGCTGGCTCCAAAATCCACACAAGCCCGATAAACCCTGTTTCTTTTAGAGCAATAGGGAATATAAGATAGGGCAACATGTTGTTTACTTCACAAAGGATTTTTCACTATATAGATCTGACCACTGGATCCTGAAAACATCACAGATATTTTAGGTCCTTGAATTTTTTTTTAATTTATTCATTTTCTACATTAATTCACTATATACCATTGCAACACATAAATGAATTTTCCATCCAAAATACACTGTGCATTGGCTCAATCAAGCACATCAACATACATGTTCTCAGCAAATAATTTTCCAATTCTTATGTCCTGCATACCTTGCCTTTTGTTTTGCCATCCTTGATTCCCCATCCCCCACCCTCTGCTATGTCCCATCCTCCTCCCCCATTGTCCCTGGCATCCATGGTTGCCCTCCATGCCTTCCCCCCCCATTCAATTGTTCTACCAATGAACTTAATTAGTCTAAATATATCCAATAGCTAGCACAGCTGACACATACCTATACATGAACCCAAGTCTGACTTTAGGCATAACCCCCAGTGAGTAGAATGAACATACTATAAAGTAGTACCCAGCTGTGCCCATACAGCTTGCTGCAGTCGTCAAATATGCCTTTTTTTTCCTCCTGCAACTTTTTTTTTTTTTTATATTACCTAACATTCATTCCCTGAGCATCATCACAACATACTAAATGTGGTTTCCCATCTAGGATAAACTGCATAGTGGCTTAATCAAGCATGTTATCATCAATAATATTCCATTTCTACTTTCATACATATGTATACATATATATATGTTTTTTATCCTATGTTTGACCCTCTGCCCTTTCCCCCTCTCCCATTACACTATCTCTGCTATATACAGTTGTCTTCCAGAAGA